GGTGCAGACTAAGTACCTGAAAGAAGTATTGAAAAATGATTCATTGCTCTGAATGGCATCCATGACGTGCAGAACGATAATCCACTCAGAAGACAAGCCTTTAGAGAAGTCTGTTGGCTTCAGTCATTTGTGAGAGTCCAAGAGTGTGTCCCTGTGATGTCCAGGCTGTCTCCTGGGAGGCACCTCTGACCATCTCCCCACATTGCAGGAGAAATCTCAGAAGTAGGAAGGTATTAGATGCAGACACACTCCTTGGTGCGTGTCCTGGGTGCAAGTGCTTCTCCTTGTGATTGTGTGGGCACAATATTCTGCCCTCGCATTGCCTTCAGATGGTCTCTTACTTGGAAAAACACTTTCCTGAGGTCGGGAGAAGACAGCCTGTGTCCCACCTGTCGGACACGATTGCTTCCAGCAAAGTCAATTGAATTATTTGCACAGGATGTGGTCCAGTGTTAAGAAATTCTTTTAAAGCATAGGAGCAAAAACCGTGTGTGTGTGTGTCTTTATGTGCTGGAATTTATCCCTTTTCAGGCACAGACAAAGGGAATATTAAGGACGGCAAGAGAGTTAAGGACATAGTGTACAAAGGGTATGAGGTGTAGCGCAGGGTAGGATGGAATAGGGTAGGAAAGGAAGGGAAATAATCTCAGTCGGGCAAACAGGGTAACTTGTCCAAGTAACTTCTCCAAATCTGTCTGAAGGTGCCCAGTGAACAGGTTGGGGCTTTCTTGAAGTTACAGTTTAAGGAATGAAGTTATTATAAAAATAATATTAGAGGTGGGCACAGGCTGCAAATACGTTACTTCTTCTGAAAAAAAAACTAATTAAAAATCATTTGCCCTTCTGTTTCTTTGCCAAGACCTATTCTCAGGACTCTGTGCTTCCCCTGAAGCAGCCAATGAAATCTCAGGCCCCTAAAACAAATAGAGGCAGTACAGGACTTGGACTTAGGACTTGGCTGGTTTAAAAAAAGAAAAGAGGAAATGATTTTTAAATATTTTCCTTTAAAATATGCTAGATTGTCATTTTTATATTCATGCACATGTTGTTATTAATTTTGGCTGGTATATAGTTCCCTTTATAAAACAACAACTTCACCACTCCCCTTTCATTTGCAGGTAAACTCAGATCCTGTGTAATCTTACGTCTCTATGCTTGCTGTTTCCAGGACACATACGGGAGCAATTCTCCTTGAAGCTTGGATGTGATGTACATCCAGGCTGAATAATGACAATGTAAACCAGTGAGCAGAGACATGGTCCCTGGGGTTCTCGTCTTCTGTGCCTGCCGTTGCAGCTGCTGAGCTCATCAAATCTATGACTGGTGTCTGTTCCACAATACGTTCACTTTCCCTCTCCCAGAACCAAAAATATAGGCCGTGGAGCCTCTCTTGCTTTGCAGAGTGGGTGCTAGAGAGGTGATGAGTTTGATTGGTTTGGATTTTTAGAATTCTCCATTCCATTGTTGTTTCGTGGTGCACATCTTGCTGTCGGTGTGAAAGACAGCAAAGTCAAGAAAGTAGGCTTTTTTGGGTTGCAGCCCTCCTCCTGCAAGTATTCAGGTGATCTGCTGAAGTCAGCAGTCTGCCCAGGTGGCCAAGAAAGCCACCAGCATCCTGGCCTGTGTCAGGAACAGCGTGGGGAGTAGGACTCAGGAGGTGCTGGTCCCCCTGGACTGGGCACTGGGGAGGCCCCACCTTGAGGGCTGTGTCCAGTTGTGGGCCCCTTCCCACAAGAAAGACCTTGAGGGGCTGGAGCGGGTCCAGAGAAGGGCAAGGGAGCTGGTGAGGGGTGTGGAGCACAAGTCTTGTGAGGAGAGGCTGAGGGAGCTGGGGGTGTTGAGCCTGGAGAAAAGGAGGCTGAGGGGAGACCTTCTGGCTCTCTCCAACTCCCTG